TGTGCCCGGACTTTTTTTTTTTTTTTTTCCGAGATGGAGTCTCACTCTGTTGCCCAGGCTGGAGTGCAATGGCATGATCTTAGCTCATTGTAACATCTGCTTCCTGGGTTCAGGTGATTCTCCTGCCTTAGCCTCCCGAGTAGCTGGGTTTATAGGCACCCACCACCGCGCCCGGCTAGTTTTTGTATTTTTAGTAGAGATGGGCTTCACCATGTTGGCCAGGCTGGTCTCAGACCTCAACTGATCTGCCCACGTTGGCCTCCAAAAGTGCCAGAATTACAGATGTGTGCCACCTTACCTGGCCATTTTAAGAACTTTTTCTTTTAAAAAAGTTCACTTTATTTTTATGAAATTAATAAAAGTTTGTAATTAAAGATATGAAGTAGTGCTAAATGGCTTATAACAAAAAACAGTAGGTACTCTAGAGGTAACAATTTTTAACTCATTTTTATTTTTACTTTCCAAATTTATAAAAAGAGTATATGAATTTCTCTTACATATTGAGTCGAGGATTTTAGCTCTTCCTCTCCTGCTAGCCTTCTAATAATGTTTCTGGCTAAAATTTGTATGTATTGTTTCTATTAGAATTAATGTTTACATATTGAATAGTGTAATGTAGTATAATTACTTTTTTTTTTTGGTACAACAGTTTGCTTTTCCTGTAGTTTAGTGATTTTTTTTTTTCTATTTCCTTAAATTTCTTAGAAACTTGACCTCATAAACTCCCCAATAGCTTTGTAAGACCTTTCTCAGCATAATTTCTTGCAAAGTCAAATGTGGTAATTCATCTGTTAGATGTTTTTCTAGCACCTTTTGTTTTTTTTCTAATTTGTGTTGATTGCTGTCTAGACTGATGCAACATTGCCATTCTGAGAAGTCCTTTCCTTTTTTCTCTCTTTTGTGTTGGATTCTCCTTGTTTCATGAATGCCGTGCCTTTAGTTTTTTGGTTGATACTCTTATCTGGGTGCATAGGCAATGAATGAATTGATTGCTAAAGCTGCAAGTGGGGTATATAGAAGTTTGTTCATATTCTCCACTTTTGTGTGTCTTTGAAATTGTCTATAACAGTCTTTGAAAATGCACATAGAAGATGGTATTTTCAGACTTTGTGTTGATATTGTCTTTATTCTACCCTGATGGTCCGTCCTTTGGTTGGTTAAGATTCTAGATTGGAAATATTATTAAGTCAAAATTTACTCTGTTTCTTGTCTTTGAGGTTCCATTGTTGCTATTTAGGGAACTTGGGTGACATTTTTATTTCTCATCTTTTGTGTGTGTTCAGTGGGTTTTATTCTCCATTCTTTGGAAACTTTTAGAATTGTCTTTTTATGTCTTGTCAAACTTTATGATAATGCCCGTTAGTGTGTATCTTTTTCGTTTATTGTTCTAGGCTTTCAATCCTCAGATTAATCCTTTAGGCTAGGTACAGTGGCTCATAAACTGTAATCCCAGGGCTTTGGGAGGCTGAGGTGGGAGGATCATTTGAGGTCAGGAGTGTGAGACTGCCTGGGTGACATGGTGAGACCTCACCTCTACAAAAAATTAGCTGGGTGTGGCGGTGTGAACAAAAAAATAGATTTATTCTGTAACAATGTGGAATTTTATGTTACTTCTTTAACTATCTCCTGTTTCCTCCTTTCTCTCCGAAATGCATGCTACTTGGATATTCGGCCTCTTAGATTGATCTCCCACTGCCCTCCCCCACCCAGTTACTTGTTTCATTTTCCCATTCTTTTTTGTTTTTTGAGATGGAGTCTTGCTCTGTTGCCCAGGCTGGAGTGCGGTGGCACAACCTTGGCTCACTGCAACCTCCACCTCCCAGATTCGAGCAATTCTCCTGCCTCAGCCTCCTGAGTAGCTGGGATTTATAGGCACACGCCACTGTGCAGGCTAATTTTTGTACTTTTTTAGTAGAGATGGGGTTTCACTGTGTTGGCCAGGCTGGTCTTGAACTCCTGACCTTGTGATCCGCCCACCTTAGGCCTCCCAAAGTGCTGGGATTACTGGTGTGAGCCACCGCACCCGGCCCATTTCCCCATTCTTTGGGGGAGCTGCCTTTTTATTTCCTCACCTTTTCTGTTTTTTATTTTTATTTATTTGTTTTTTTCATTTCAGTCAGCAAATTTCTAAGTGCCTTCCCTCTTACCCCCTCTTTTTCTTTTACCCATGCTGGTCTCAAACTCCTGGGCTCAAGACATCTTCCTACCTCAGCCTTTTAAGCTGGGAATACAGGTGCAGGTACCGTTGCACCCAGCTTTTTTATTCTCATGCTTGTTTATTTCATAGATTCAAGCAGCTTACATTTCTGGAGATATAAATTACTTTTTTTTTTTTTTCAAAAAGTATAAATTTATATTTTGTAGGAAATGTAGGTTTACAAAACAGTAGCAGTCGCTACCCCCAATCCAGTTGATGGACTTTACCCTGAAGGGGGACGTTTAGATCCTATTCCGCTGGGCAGGGGTAAAATGATTCGTTAGTCGTGCAGGTTAACAGTAAATTCTTCTCCCAAGGCTGGAGCTGTCAAGGCACAGTCTGCATGAGGCTCACCCTGTCTGGCTCTAGGGTGGGGTTGCTTGCTCTGTAGGTGGGAATTGGAGTGGGTGGGGGGTTCAAGGAAGGGTCTGGACCTTAAGACTTCTGTTGGCAGGAGGGTGCTGGGAAAACTCTGCCTTGGGCTGGGGAGTCCCCCTCTTGCCTCTTTGGGGAACAGGTGGGGAGGGCGTAGTGGGACCCTGCTGTCTGGAGGGCTCAGGTCTGAGCAGCAGGGAGCCCTTATCATCCACTCCAGCAGACTTATTGGGAATTTATTACCTGAAGACAAAATATAGGTCTAGGGTCTTTTTTGTGATTTTGGGGGAGTCGGGGCTTTGGTGGGAGGAAAGAGGTATGGTCTAAGGTCACAGTCTGAGAGAAGAGTCCTTGGGATCAGAGGTTGTACAGAAGCACTTTCCCCACGTCCTGCCTCATGAGATAAGGTTACCAGGATTGCATTATCATGTTGTGTTTCTCCGGACTCATGGGTTAGGGTTCATAGTGCAGCCACCAAGATAGAAGTCACAAAAGGGGTGCATGTGTGTTAACTGACAGTGGCCTGGGCAGAGGTCAGGGGGCACTAGATCCTTTGCAAGAAAGCTAAGTGATCAACAGGTGAGATGCGAGAAGCCAGGCACATGGCAGCTCACACATGGCCCGGGACATGACAAAGCCTTAGTCCTGGTAGGAATCAGAGGGGCTGCTGTAGGACGGGCATCATAGATGGGGTTGACCCTATCCAGATAGTCTTCTAACTCCTCTTCCTCCTTGTCCTCTAGATCCAGGGAAGCACCTTCCATGGCAGGTGGCCCTGGAGGTACCAGGATGGGGGACCCCAGGCTTGTGGCTTCAGGGTGTAAGAGTCCTGACTGTTCTTCCAAGGTGGGCAGCTCATGGTATCAAGGCATTTCTTGCTCAGTGGATGAGATGCCAGCATCAAAGTAGAGAGTCTTGAGTGGGCTGTGCCCTGAGGCCCCCAGAGTGAAGAGCTGGGAAGGCTATAGCAGGAGACGGGCGGGGAGGTCAGGATTGTTTGTTTTGAGATAGGGTCTTGCTGTGTCACCCAGTCTGGAGCAGAGTGGCATGATCTTGACTCACTGCAGCCTCAGCCTCCCAGCCTCAAGAGATCCTCCCATCTCAGCCTCCTGAGTAGCTGGGACTACAGGTGCAAGTACTGCCAAGCCCTGCTAATTTTTATATTTTTTTGTAGATACAGGGTTTTGCCACATTGCCCAGGCTGGCCTTGAACTCATGAGCTTAAGTGATCAGCTGGCCTTGGTCTTCTAAGTGCTGGGACTACAGGCATGCACCACTGCGCCTGCCTATAAATTGCTTTTTAAAAAACCCTTTCTAATATTAGCCCTATTGCTTATAAATTTCTTTATGTCTCTGCTATTCATCTGTTTCATTTGAAGGCTTTCCTTGAGTTTCTTGATCCTAGGGTGATCCTCTAGGAAGGCACCAAGACAATGGAAGCTGTCTGTGAGGAAATGGCTCTTCTTGCCTGGTAGACTTCTCCTGCCTTACTGGGGAGTTTGTCTGTGAGTGTTTTCTTTGGAGATGGATTGTCGTGTGTCCTCCTTCGATAATTATCGCTCATCTCTCAGTTTTTCTTATTTTTCTTTCAAGTTTATATTGTCATATTTCTTTACCTGCTGAATCCCCAGAGACGACTGTGTATCATACAAAGCTGAGCTTATAAAATCTGCAGAGCAGCCGAGTGCGGTGACTCACACCTGTAATCCCAGCACTTTGGAAGGCTGAGGCGGGCAGATCACGAGGTCAAGAGATCAAGAGCATCCTGGCCAACATGGTGAAACCCTATCTCTACTAAAACTACAAAAACTAGCTGGGCATGGTGGTGTGCACCTGTCATCCCAGCTACTCGGGAGGCTGTTGCAGGAGAATCACTTGAACCTGGAAAGTGGAGGTTGCAGTGAGCTGAGATAGCCACTGCACTCCAGCCTGGAGACAGAGTGAGACTCTGTCTCAAAAAATAAATAAATAAATTAAATTAAATTAAATTAAAAATAAAATCTGCAGAGCAACAGGAGAGTATCATCTTGGTAGACTCTTAGTGACATTTTCAAACAAAGGTATGGTGAGTACTCACTCAATGCGATCTGTAAGTTCTTGCAAACTGACTTCACAGAAAACAAAACCAGTTTTTTTTCCTCATCAGTGTTATAAGGAAACAGCTTTGAACAGTAAACTGACAATATTTGAGGACTTGCTTTACATTGTTTTGTGAAAAGTCTTAGTTTCCAAGAACCTATTGACAGTTAAGCGAGAACTCAAGGGGAGGAGTGAGTCACAGGGTTGGAAGTCAGTAAGTATGATGTAGATGGAGATTGGTTTAGAATTTCTAATCCAAATGAGCTGCTGGATCAGACATTGGTCTTTATCATTGGAGCACCTAAATCTATACAAAGTTCACTTAAAATAGTTGGTCTTATTCTGGAACATGTGTCTGAGTAAGCCTCTGTTAAACAGTTTTGGTTGTATTTTGTTTCTCTTGCATGTTATGTTGTTGTATAGTTTTATCTGTTTTAGAGTCATATAATAGTTTATTTTATAAATTATGGTTCTATTCTCTTCAACAGATAGATATAATAAAGCTATATAGTAAAGGATCTTTTCTCTTTTCCACTGGAAAGTCAGCGGTGGGTGATATAACTCCACTTTTGGTGACAAACTGTTATTGTTATCCAGTTAATGGGTACCCACTGGACTTACTCTTTACTTGCTTTTTCTTCTTAGCAATGTGTGTGGGTGACCACTCTTTAGCAGTATGTAGAGCTCTTGTTTTTTTACAGATGAATAGTACTCCATTGTGTGGCTGTACCATATTAGTTCATTTGGTAATACATTGTTACTGGACACATGAGTTGTTTCTAGTCTTCTCTTGTTACAGATAATAGCTGCAGTGGGCTGGGCAGGGTACTTAACATCTGTAATCCCAACACATTGGGAGACCGAGGCAGGTGGATCACTTGAGGTCAGGAGTTTCCAACATGGTGAAACCTGACCTCTACTGAAAATGCAAAAATTAGCTGGGCATGGTGGTGGGCGCCTGTAATCCCAGGTACTTAGGAGGCTGAGGCAGGAGAATCACCTGAACCTGGGAGGCAGAGATTGCAGTGAGCCAAGATCGCACCACTGCACTCTAGCCTGGGTGAAAGCATGAGACTCTGGCTCAAAAAAAAAAGGTACAATGATTACCTTTGTCAATATGTCTTGCTGTTGTGTCACTGGATAAATCTCTGGAAATAGAATTGAGTCAAATCTTCAGTTCGTGTATAATTTTGTGAGATCTCAGCAGATTCCCCTCCATCCGCTCTGTATTATTTTGCATTCTTTTTTCTTTTTTGGAGATGGAATCTCACTTTGTTGTCCAGGCTGGAGAGCAGTGGCATGATCATGGTTCACTGCAGCCTTGACCTCCTGGACTCAAGCGATTCTCCCACCTCAGCCTCCAAGTATCTGGGACTACAGGCATGTGCCACCGTGCCCGGCTTATTTTTGTATTTTTTGTAGAGACAGTGTTTCACCTTGTTGACCAGGCTGTTCTCGAACCTCCTGAGCTTTGTAAGTCATGACGCCCAGCCCATTTTGCATTTTTACCAGCATTAAGATATATAAAATGTTTCTTTCTCCTCACAGTTTTGCCAGTGACATATGTTGTCAAATATGTGGTTTTGTCTGTTTTATGGGTGAGGAATAGTGTCTCTGTTCAGTTTTATTTGTGATCTTAGCTTGTAAGGGTCTACTTGGCCTTTCTTTTTCTGTTATTACATCCATTTTTTCCTCATTACTTGCATAAGCTTTTTTCACATCAGATTTATTAACCTTTAATCTGTGATAGGGTGATTTACCTTCTTACACTTCTGTTCTGTGGAGTCAGTTTCTTGGAAACAGCCTTTCTTGAGTCCCTGTCTCTCACTTCTACCTGTATGGGTTTGTCAGCCTGTTACTGTTAGATATAGTGCACTCCAAGTTTCTCTTCAAAGAATTGGTATGTCAGTATGTTCAGCCCTCTTATTATCTAATTCTCCATTTTAAAGTTTAACTTCTTGTTTTTTTGCGCCCCCTTGCCTCTAGTTTCCGTAAACAGCTTTCCCATCAGTTCTAATTAGTAGTTCACATCTGTACCCCTGATCACTTGGTCCGACCTGTTCCATTACCATCCTTCCTGCCAAACTACTCACCCCACCACTCTGGCTCACACCCCTGCTCTCTTTAAAAATAGCCAATTGGAATTAGTTTAGACTGTGCGGTCCAACTCTGGCCAATAGGGGAACAACACAGCAGTAAGGGCTACCTGTGTCAGGAATAAGAACCCCTTCCCCTACCTTGACCAGGTATGTGCTCTCCATTGCTCCATCTGTGAGATGTACCCTTCTATAGAAGTGAATTGCCTTGCTGAGAAAATTAATATTTGAGTGCTGCCTCTTTTGCAGCACTGAAAATTCGCATGTAACATTAACTAAGTTATACTGGAACCTTCTGCTCTTCTAGGTTATATCTATGGTTTCTCAGATCTATATGTTTATGTTGCTTTTCTTATATCTTGAGGGGTATCCTTCAATAACTTCCAGAGAAGATGTGTATGAAATATAAATTTTAGCCCATATATGTATGGAAATGTATATAATGTCAGTTAATACTTTAGCCAGGTATGAAGTTCAGGGTTCAAAGTCATTTTGCTTCACTATTGAAGGTATTACTCTCTTGTCTTCTTGTTTTCTAGCCCAGTTTTGTTGGTTTATTTTAAAGAAATGGGGTCTAACTATGTTGCCCAGGCTGGACTTGAGGTCCTGGGTTCAGGTGATCCTCCTAATAGCTGGGACTACAGGTGTGCGCCATAGCACCTGGCTTTATAGCTCAGTGTTGATGACAGAAGAGTAAGTGTAGACTAAAAGTTTTTAAACTTAGAACCTTGATTCAGTTTTAAAGTTGCAAAGAGATAATGGGTTTTATTTTTTTAGAGCAGTTTTAGGTACTCAGGAAAATGGAGTGGAAAATAACAGAGTTCCCATATATTCCTTTCCCTCTCATATTTGCAGCACACCCTCCCCTATCCCCACCCCACATCTCACAGAGTAGTATATTTGTTAAAGTTGATGAACCTACATTGGCAAGTCATTATCACCCAAAGTCCATAGTTTACATTAAGATTCATTCTTGGGGTTTCACTGCCCTGAAAATCCCTTGTTTTCCCATTATTTTTCTCTCTCACCTCAAACCCCTGGCAAGTGCTGGTTTTTTATTGTCTCCCTAGTTTTGTCTTTTCCAGAATAACATAAGATACAGTTGGAATCATACAGCATGGAGCCTTTTCAGATTGGATTCATTCACTTAGTAATTAACGTGCACATAAATTTCCTCTATGTCTTTATGGCTTGAGAGCTCATTTCTTTTTAGCACCAAATATTCTATTGTTTGGATGTACCAGTTTATTTATCCATTTACCTACTGAAGAAACATCTTGGTTGCTTCCAAATTTTGGCAGTTTTGAATAAAGCTGCTATAGACCGGGAGTGGCGGCTCATACCTGTAATCCCAGCACTTTGGGAGGTTGAGGCAGGCTGATCTCCTTAGCCTGGGAATTTTAGATCAGCTTGGGCAACATGTCAAAACCCCTTCTCTATGAAAAATACAAAAAGTAGAGGGGTATGGTGGCTCACACCTGTGGTCCCAGCTACTTGGGAGGCTGAGGCAGGAGGATGGCTTGAGCCAAGCAGGGAGAAGCTGCAGTAAGCACCGATTATGCAACAGAGTGTGAGACCCTGTCTCAATTAAAAAAGAAAAAGAAAAGAAGCAACACAGCAAAATGAATAAAACTGCTATATATATCTGTGTGCAGATTTTGTGTAAGGATATTTTCAACTGTTGGGTAAATATCAAGGAGCACAACTCCTGGTTTATGGTTAAATGTATGTTTACTTTGCAAGAAATTGCCAAACTGTCTTCCAAAGCGGCTGTACCATTTTGCATTTCCACAGGCAACTATTTGGTTTCGTTGATCTTTATTGATTTTGATTTTCAGTTGTTGTGATTTCTGCTCTAATTTTTATAATTTTATTGTTCTCTCTTTACCTTGGATTTAATATTCTCTTCTTTTTCTAGTTTCCTAAGACAGAAGCTTAGATTATTGACATTCGATCTTTCTTTGGCTGGGCATGGTAGTTCAGGCCTGTAATCCCAGCACTTTGAGAGGCCAAGGTCAGTGGATCACTTGAGGTCAGGAGTTTGAGACCAGCCTGGCCAACATGGTGAAACCTTGTCTCTACTAAAAATAGAAAAATTAGCTGGGTGTGGTGACACACCCCTGTAATCCTGGCTACCTGGGAGGCTGAGGAAGGAGAATTGCATAAGCCCTGGGAGGCGGAAGTTGCAGTGCATTGAGATCATGTCACTGCACTCCAGCCTGGGTGACAGAGAGCGGCCCTGTCTCAAAAAAAAAAAAAAAAAAAAAGATTTTTTTTTTTTTTTCCTAGTTAC